AGAGAGGGTATAGCATAGCATAGACTTGTATAGCAAAGCATAGCAAGGAGGAGGCGAAAATGAAGTGGGTGCGTGGAGGAGAGGAGAGAGTAAAGCATAGCCATGAATTGTATAGTAAGGTAAGAGACGGAAATGGGAAGTGTGATTGAGCAGGAGTGATGTGGGGTTGAGAAGAATAAGAGAGTGAGGAGAGGGTAAGACATAGTATAGCCCTGTATAATAACAATTTCTCTGACGATTGCCGGCTTGTGTGACTGAATCATAAACAGGAATAATTGACTAGCGTGGTTAGTTATTCGGTGAAGCGAAATTACTTACAAAGTGTCTCAAAGCTACAAACAAGCTGCACCTCCTATCTTTCATCAGGTTACGTAAGATTAAGCAGATGAGGAGAATAAAGCACAGCAAGGGGGAGGCGAAAATCAAGTGGGTGTGTGGAGGAGAGGGGAGAGTAAAGCATAGTGTAGCCATGAATTGGGTAGTATGGCAAGTAACGGAAATGGGAAGTGTGATTGAGCAGGAGTGAGGTGGGGGTGAGAAGAATAAGGGAGTGATGAGAAGGTAAGACATAGTATAGCCTGGTATAATAAAGCACAGCAAGGGGAGGCGAAAATGAAGAGGGTGTGTGGAGGAGAGGAGAGAGTAAAGCTTAGTATAGCCATCAATGGGGTAGTATGGCAACTAATGGAAATGGGAAGTGTAATTCAGCAGGAGTGAGGTGGGGGTGAAAAGAATAAGGAAGTGAGGAGAGGGCAAAGCATACAAAGCCTTGTATAGTAAAGCATGACAAGAGGGAGAGTGTAAAATATAGCATAGTCATTACTTGTATGTATGTCAAGGGTTGGAAATGGCAAGTATGATAGAGCAGGAGTGATGTGGGGGTGAGAAGATTAAGCAGATGAGGAGAGTGTAAAGCATAGCATAGTCTTGTACAGTAAACCATGGCAAGGGGGAGTTGAAAAGGAAGTGGGGGCGTGGAGGAGAGAGGAGAGTAAAGCATAACATAGCCATCAACTGCATAGTATGACTAGGGATGGATATGAGAAGTGTGGTTGAGTAGGAGTGAGGGCGGTGGAAAGAAAAAGGAGGTGAGGAGAAGGTAGAGCATAGCATGACCACGCGTCTATAGTACAGCTAGGTGGCGGGAAAGGAAACTGAGGATGAGGCCGAGTGTTGTGATGCTGAGGAGGGAAAAGGGGAGAGGTGAATTAGGGAATATGGTAAATCATAGTAAAGCCACGTACAGTATAGTGTTGCAAAAAGCGGGAAAGGAAAGCGAAATTAAGGAGGAACTTTGTAACGGGTGTGAGGGAAGAAAAGAAAGAGCGAGGGTATAGCATTGTCTTGGGGAGGCAAGTGGGAATGCGATATGAGCTACAGCCTGCAGACACGCTAGGGAAGGCCACAAACTCCACTGCTTTCCGATTCTTCTATCTACGAGTGCGCAGCTGCAGATATTTTCGGCTAATTGCTATGTTCGGGGCACTGGAGCCCAAAACAGTATCTTTTATATAGTCAGGCGTTGCAGTTTGCTTCGTTGCGTAAAAAAATGTTCGTATTAAAGTATCATGTGTTTTGAATACACAGTGAAATGGTTAAAAGGTTGAATCGGGAGGTTACGTCAGAGGAGATGAAAGCTAAGTTTGAAAGAGGGGATAGACTCTGTCGCACTCGCGTTACTAAGAGTTCTTGTGGTGCAGACGAGCTTGTAGCAAGGAGAAAGCAATAACGTATTCACATAAAATTAAACATTTGACACCACCAGTTAGTCGGAGGACTGCTTAAAAAACGGGAAATATGTCGGGAAGATTACAAATTAAACAACCATTGCTAAGCGGCAGATTGCTGCACACTACTTACACTGGTATAACTATGCTTAGTGTTTTCCATTAGTGGAAGGGGCGAAGATGAAGTCTCACTGCAATGCCCCCCCCCCTCCTCAAGTTGGGTGAACTCAGACTAAAATAGCCCCGTAGTAGATGTATATGTGCCAATGACTCAATGACGTGCTTCGTACAACGGCTTTCCTTTGGTCTTTGGTTTTTCGGGGTTAAAAATCTGCAACCAAAAGCCATGGTAATGCGGCATTTTGTAGAAAACCAGGATGGCCACAACTTTGCACGTTAAAAAATTAAAGAACCGGTATGACTGAGTAAATGAATGGGGTGGGCTTGCGCGCCCCCCACCTCCTCGGATGTTTGGGGGGATGTTGTAGGCCCGTGTACTCAGATTTGGGTGCACGTTAAAGAACCCCAGGTGGTCAAATTTCCGGAGCCCTCCACTACGGCGTCTCTCATAATCAAATAGTTGTTTTGGGACGTTAAACCCCACAAATCATCATCATCATCATCATAATCGGATGTTTGGGGGTGGGGGCTCCTCCTTTTGCCTTTTCGTGCGCACGCCCACGGGCACCAGAGAGCACAAGTTTCCTCAGGAATAATACGTATACTTGACCATAGGGCGAGTCAGAATTGGTCCCCATGACTACTTGCTCAAATGAGAGAAAAAAAATCTGGCAAACCGAGTTTTGCAAAAAAAATTGTTAGCTGCATTTACACCATCACCACACATTATTGCAAACTATTCGGCTCATTCGATCACGCCCATTTTTAAAAAGGGAGATTGTTCAATCTTTAACTTAGAGGTAATTCTGAAACAAGAGCTTATTGAGTATTGGGAGGCCATTTTGGAGACCACTGGTGTAACAATGGCCGAACAAGGCATGCACCTTTTAGACAGAACGTATTCGTGCGCACATGATTTTTTTCGTGAGAGTAAAACGTTGCTGCTGTTATCAAATATTCGCGATTTGCGTTCCTGGTTTTCGTCTGCCGTGGACATCGTGAATCTCCATACCTTAGAAAACTCCCGCCAGCTAAGGATGATAGACATCCTGCATTTCTGTTTCTTCATCATGCGTTCCACATAACGATGCTCTACTAAGTCATTAAAGAATGTTTGTTTTTTTATAATATTTGAAGTAAGGTTTTCTTGCATTTTCGTTCCTGCGTTGCCCTTGCGAGAATCTAAGAGACCAACAGGGACTTTTTTAAATAATCAGTCGATAAGCTCAATTGAAGGATCTATTTGCTGACGAATTAACTGCCAGAATGAAATTTTTAAATCATAAAATCCGAGCATAGTTTTTCATCTTTCACAAGCTTTAATATATTTCTGTTTGCTTACCAGCGAGTGTGCTGAACGGTACACTGGAGTGGTTCACGAGTGGGTAAACAAGCTACCATTCGAACGATAGTGTGCGTCATATCGTCCAGCAGTTTCTATTTCTGTTTATTGTGAATGCGCAGCTCACTTTTGCAGTGACGACAAGCGCACTGTTGCAGTTCTATAGTTTGTTTTTCGCGCTGTAGAGCGCGGCGAGGACAGACCATGGCAGCAGCGCCACCTGCATATATGCAGCTCCCGATGAAACAAGTCGGCCAATAGCCATGTCCGTGTGCTTTTGGGTATACATGACGCAGGTAATTTGGGGTATATGAAATCATTAGTACAGCGATTTTCTTAATCATTTTGTGGAGCTTTTGCTGTGTGATTTCGATCATTCATTTGAAATTTTAGGTCATGTGCTGCACTGTAACTTTCGGCTCGCGTGTTTTCAGGCGCCTCTACTGCCTATTCTGACCATTAAAGAAATGTGCTGCAAGACCTGTTTCATATTGCTATGGTACGAGTTTGGACATAACTGGTCTACCTGATGCTAGTGTTGTGGCATCTGCGTTGTCAAGGGTAATTTTAGGCCACGGAAAAGTAACACGCCTTCTCTGGTCAGCAACTTGAGAGGATGGACCCATTTAACAGTAAATATTGGTATCACCATTGAAACGTAAATATACCCTACTGAAACGTTCTGTATGCGATGTCCAATACTTCCGTGTGTTCCCGTAAGAATCTCACGGAAATATATGGGAAATATGTGGAAAATACACGGAAAACATGGGTTCCGTATAGAAACATATGGAATTATTGGACTCGAATGCGGAACGTTTCAGCAGAGATGCATGAACCTCGTGAAGGGAAGCAAAAAAAAATGGCCCCGTATCTGCATGTTACACTGAAAATGTCATCAAAAGATGATATTCTTGCGTATGAAAAGAGTGAACAAAACGCTTATTTGATGTTCTGCGCAAGAGAATCAGTGAATGGCATTCTGGAGGCGCTGCGTCAGAGTGCCTCGAGCATGCAGCGGAGGCGCACGAGCGCATTGAGTTACGTCACACGTGAAGGCATGAGCGCTATTTGGCAGTTATCTCGGAAAACGAAGCGCGCGGCGTGCGCGCCCATCTTGGAGGCGATAAGTTGTAAAACCGAAGGCGACTTGTAGGTGCCGCCACCGTGTCGTCTTAGCAAAGCGTTGGAAACACTTGCCTTTTTGAGCATCAGGTTGCAGTGCGAGCACATCGTGACAAAAGCTAAGGTCCTTAGAATTACTTATGTAGTGCCTTCTCTAGTATGAAGCCACACATAGAAAATATCAACGTGTTGCTATGGTGCCTCACATATGCTGAATAATTGCTTACGAATAGACAGTCACACAAGTATGAACGCTAAAACTTGAGCAATATTGGTGAGCGCTGCGGATGGGGTCCGTGGTTTGGGGTGTCGTTTGGTGTCGTTTGGGGTACCGTTAAAGGTGGGCAAGAGACAAAGGTACAGACAGACAGACAGACAGACAGACAGACAGACAGACAGACAACAGACAGACAGACAGACAGACAGACCAAAATTTTTGCGTCAAGGGTCCCCCAAAAGTCTATCATCTTTTAAAAAAACGAGCATGTTATGTTACATAGAATCTGGTGAGGTCACCTGGGCGTTTGTCTCATGCCGTCAGGTGCGCATGTGTGGGGGGATATCAACATTCTGACAGGCGTCGCTACCATGTGAAGACAGATGCTCTTTCTTTCACTGAACAATGCACTTTCGACAAAAGTAATACCGCACTTCACGGCGCAAACGTCCTTTATGGAAACGCTCACGTTCGCAGACGACATCGTCACCAGACCAGCCGCCATCTTTGCAGGTCCTGGAACGACGACCGTTGAGATTGAAGCCTTTCTCGCAGTGGATTAAACAGGTGTCGTTCAGCTCCCAGGGTGCCTTGCAGCCGGTGTAGCCACCGTTCTTTGGCGCAGGAGACGTGTCACAGGTCTTGACTGAAAGGTGGTAGTACAAAAGAAGGGCGTATTCTGTAAGGGCCTATCTACATGCTATCCGCAGAGTCGCACCACTCGTGACCGGACCCCTGCCGCACGCAAGCGAGAAACGAAAAAAGCGTATCGGCGACACGCTCTTTCGTCCTTCGCTTGCACGCGGCAGGTGTCCCACCACGTATGGTGCACCTGTGCACATAGTGCGTGGAATGGCTCTAAAGACAAAATTGAAGGCCGTGGTCGGTATTCTCTGAAAATGCAAGATTAGTTCACAAGAACATTGAATGCGTTGAAAAATAATAACTTTCGTAAAACTAGATTTGATGTGATAGAATCGCGTCATACAGTAAAGCGAAAACATTTTTTTTGCAAAGATTGTATTTTCGGGCCACTAGCAATTTTATAATTACCCCGGAGATGTGAGCCTGGTTCGTAACATGGCTTGCTGCTACAAGTGCCAGGTATTGACTACGGTATTTACAGTGATCTAACATATGCAGAACTGTCGCGCAAAGGAAAATGAAAATGGGGCACAATCATAGGGCTTAGTAGAAGTTACGAAAGTTTACACGAGTGAACGTGCCATTTAGAGACTTAGCACGAACATCAAGATGCCTATAGATATAACAGCCGCCCTTTCAGGAAGGAAACGAGAGAAGAGGGAAAGAGGCACGAATGTGCCTAAATATAGTGACACCTGAAACATCACTGGACCTACTTTTTGTTTGGTATTGTACGAAGATCTTCAGCCCTTATTGTTGAAGTAGTAACCTACCAGGGCCGTAAGAAACGTTTGGAACCGTACTGTAGGAGCTTTACGCTAACATTCCGGACAATGATTTGAAGAGCGGTGACTGATGGGGGAAAAGATAATTTGGGCAACTTTTTCCTAGTGGTTCCAAGCTTAAGGGATTTCGGAGCTGGGCATCCTTCTTTTATCTCGCCATTTTCTCTTTATTTCTTCCTCCCTTTGGTTGTTTTCTTTTCATTTTTTGGTTTTTGGTTTCTTCAATTCTATTTTTCTTCCTGTTTCATTGTCTTTCTCTCTTCCTCTATATTTCTCGCTTGCTATACGTTTCAATTTTAGTTCGTCGTTTGTGTTGTCCCTAGCCATAGTTGTAATGACCGCAGTTAGTACCACCATGAAGGGGCTGCAGTAACAAAAGAGAAAGGCTTCTCTTCGGCGTGAGCACGCGCTCCCCATACTACAGATGGCTATCCCCTATTCGGTTTTGCATGCGCTACGCCAAGTGATAACGACAGCATGCGACAGCCTCGACCCCTAAAGTGTTCAGCATCTGAACCTCGAGAGCACTCTACCAGTTAGCCTCCATCGCAGGTTTACTTTGCAGAACTAAAGCAGTATAGTGAGTTCTTTCGTTGCTTCCCTAGAGGACACAAGGCATTTTCGCATACTGACAGCAACGTGAAGAAATCAAGGTGTGCCAAATACAGCTTTCATAAAAAAAACCTCACTGTTCTTCGCGCATTCACCTAAGGTAACTTGAAGGCGGAGGCCATCTTCTTTATTTTCGCGGCTAACAGCGCAAGACCACAGGCATTAGACTAACCCCCGTATTCTAGAACGTCCCTTCACTCAACGCACCTTCAATTGAGAAAGCCGATGGGAGCGCCGTCTCTAGGCAGGGGAAGTCACTGTATATCGGTGATAATCTGTCACGATTCTTGAGTAGCGCAGCGTCATTTTCAGCCGTTAAGTGGCGCAGTGCTCAACTCTGTCAAGTGAAGGGTGAAAGTCGAGTCGAGGAGCGTTTGTGGAATACGGGGGTTAATGTAGACACGGCAGAGCACTGCCGAGTCATGAAGTGTTCTGTTTGTATGATACAGCGCTGTGCCGTGTCAACTTCTAGTCGCACTGTTCGCTACAATGAATCTGCACCAACTCGACCACTTTTCAATATTCCGTTCTTTTTCTTCTCAGCCGATGTATACTGATCCTCCCACGCCCCCCCTGCGAAAGCTTTTTACAGATGACGTGTTTTCCCACTGCCTCTACAATGGGATGCATTACAAGCTTCCAGCGTTGCTCCTAGCCATTCACCCAATTTTAAGCCAAGCGACGACGTCATATGATGCCAACATCATGTACCATCATGCTATGGGCGGTCATTATGACGGGACAGGTTTTTGCGATCTCTGACACCATGGTGGTGTCCACGTGCAGAATCACTGGCAAGCGCAGGATTGGGAAGCATCTTTATGTGGTGCAATCTCTCGGTGGCAGCAACGATGTCCTGCCGTAACTGAATGACAAATAGGAGGAAAAAATAATATCTTGAAACTAAGCTAGTAATCAAAAACTACTCCAGAATCTATAGTGCTGAGACCTACCTACATTTTGGTGACATTTCAGTATCGAACTACAAAGCCTGTGGCTTACCCGTATAATTGAAAATTGCATATTAGAAATACACAGGGCCCCATCGTAAAACATTGAACACTCTGGAAAGCCACGCGGAGCCGTTTTTGATAGCTAGCTTAATTCAAAATATTTTAAAGTTTTCGCCTGTTAACGGCAGGCTGCCGCTATCACCGACGAGAGGGCGCTACGTTCAAATGCGCCACGAATCCGGGTTATAATGATTATTTTGCTCGCTCGGTCTGACGCCACCGACGTGAGGCGCTAAGGCCACCGACAGTGAGTTTGCATGTTTGATGAGATACCTAAGGCTTTCGCCTAAATTAGCAAATGATTGAGAGCGCTAACCTAGACACACGGTCGTGTTTCCACTCCATGTGCCGTCGCCCTGGCAGGTCCTTATGTCGGCGTCATCCTCGCCACTCTGCAATCTGTACCCTTCGTGGCACCCGAGTAAGCATTCGCCCATGTACGAAGTGTCACATTTCTCCTCCAGGTAGCCGTGCTCGGGAGCCTGGAGGGGAGGGCAGGAGAGCGCTGCGAACGTTGGAACGGGTGAGAAGCACTGCAAGGGTCAGTCCTTGTGGCCACCCGCAATCGGAGGCCTCCACTACGACAGGCCTTCTGTGACTAAAGGGCTCTCACCGCCCTTTAGCAGGCCTCACAGGTGTCCACTGCTGTAGCTCTCTCGCAGGGAGGTATGACTTTTATAGGGGTAAGCCTCCAGACTTGCAGACCATTTTCATTAGGGCAGGCCTCCGTCATTATCTTTGTAAATTGTTAAAATGAAACAACGTATAAATGGGAAGAACATGCAGAGCTTTTTAAAAAAGCACAGGGGCGCTGCCTCGTGACAGTTTTTTTGTCTGTTTGAAAAGCTGGCGCATGCAATACATGGTTCAGGCACCTTTTTTGAGCATGTCCGGTAGAAACCAGTTATGTTACAAACGCAGACACAGATAAATATTTGTAATGTGGTATTTAAGAAAGCGAATGATTTGTTTAGAAGTAGTTTTTGCTGGGCTGGTTGGTACATAATAGTGACGCTTTTTTGTGCTTCTTTGTTATTCCTGTGGTGTTCAAAGCCCCTAAATATTACCCTGTTTAAGAATAATCTGTCAATCATGAAGACGCAGATCCTAGTAAACTTTTTGTTGGTGAGATTTTTGAAAGTAGACTGAGTTATTGTAGATGTTAGAATATTTTTAGGGTGGGAACCAAAAAATAATGTGTCAGGAAATGAATGAATGCGCAGCCACCCCCAAATGATTACGGAACGCAGGTTCCATTGAAAATGCGAATATCTGCTCTAACAGTGCACGGCGCTTCTAACTTATGAGGTCGCAGGCACCATGCCAGGCATGGACATTTATTTCGAGACTACGTTCTCACATAACTCGGAAATACGTACGCCTTTGTAAGATACATCATTTGTAGGAAGTTGGAGCAGTGTGCGCGTCGTACCTCAGTGTCTTAATACTCATGTCCCTTCTCCGTGCTCTACATGTGTTCAGATGGAATACCAGCATGCCCAAGCTCCTGTTCTTTCATTGACTGTAGGCACTTGTAGAATGAGAAAGGAGAACAAGTGTTCTTGTCAGAAGTTCCTATTCCATTGGGGGTTTCTCATGTAGCATAGGGTAACGCTGGAAGTGAAAGCAGCCAAGTAGTGCACTCACGGACACAGGGCTTTCCGCTGGCTGGATCACCGACGTAGCCTGTCTTGCACTTGCAGTCCTTAAGCGAACGGCTGCCCTCGTTTCTCATCTCGCTGTTCGCGGGGCACGCTTGGCAACGCTCGTCGAAGTAGGTCTCCTTGTAGGTGTTCGGCTTGCAGGCTGCCTTGGAAGATAAGAATAATTTGTGAACCATTTCCTTTGGCGAAGTGGATGACTGTTGCAAGCTGCTGTCGCACGTACGCGTGAAAACCTGACCCCACGTATCCATCGCAGCACGTCAGCGCGAGGCTTCATTGATGACGTACAAAAAAGCACTAGTGAATAGCGCTTGTATAAGTGGCCTCTTTCGAATAATGTAGAAGATGTCTATACCATATCTTGCGAGGGCAACTCTATCGAACATACACTGATAATGAATGGACCCCTGCACATGCAATGAATTCCCACGAACTGATTATGGTTTATCATATTTGCGCTCTTCGCCGAACAATCCGTTGTCCGGCTATTCCCATATTCCCGCGGCTGGGAGGTGACGTTACTGATTAAATATTTGTTCAATTTATTCATTCATTTCATTTCTTTCTCTCTTTGTTTTTGTTTTTAACAGTGAAGCCATAAGAGCCAAGGAGCAAACTTGCAGTCCGCGAGCGAAATCCGCTCTTCACTAGAAAGTTCGAGTTCACAACCATTAGCGAACAATCCAAAAACGACACAGAAAAAGAGGAAGTCCAAATTTCGGTTTCCCTAGCGTAGAAAATAAACTCACTCCACCTGCGAAACCACATACATTGATTAACGCTATTTGCCGTGCGTTCTCTGGCGAATATGCGCGACCTTAAGGCTAACGGTGTACGTATCCGTCGCAGCGCGTCAGCGCGAGGCTTTTTGACGCGCCGGCACCCTCTCCCTATAGAAAGCCAAAGCAACGCCTGGTGGCGCTGCGACTCAGAACAGACAGCGCCATATTTGGCAGAAAAGTAGAAATCGGAGATGTAGATGGCGCGTTTTCCCTTCGCTCCAATGCGCTGCCGCTTGCTTACGAGCTCGTGCAGAGAGCGCGCGCTGCGTTTGAGTCACCTCACAATATACCGCCTGCAGTGCGGCTTCAAAAAGATCTCTGAGCCGGACAAACACTTCCGAGAAGCGAATCGAACGAAGGGAGTAAAGCTTATTAGTCAAGTGTATGATGTGGAGCAGACGACGGAAGAGGAGAACCCCCGAGTCACTGCGAAATGCATTTCTCTGGTCCTCTGTGGCACATATTACAAAGAGGGCGCATATTTGCCAAAAAAACGCACGGCAAATACTGTCATTCAAAGGATGGCGGTTCCGCAGGTGGAGGGAGCTTAGTTTCTACGCTATAGAGCAACCGAAGTTTCACTTTCTCTTTTTGTGTGTCGTTTTTGGTATTATTCTTTATTGCTTGTGAACTCGCACTGTCTAGTGGAGAGCGAATTTCGCCCGCGGACTGCAAGTTTGCTTCTTGGCTCATCTGGCTTCACTGTTAAAAAAACAAAGAAAGAGAGCGAGAGAAATGAAATAAATGAATAAATAAAAGAAAGATTTAATAACGTCTGCTCCCAGCCCCGGAAATATGGGAATAGGCGAACACAGGATTGTTGGTCGAACAACGCAATATGATAAACCATAATCAGTTCTTGGTAATTCATTGAATGTGCAGGGTTGCGTCCATTATCAATGTATGTTCCATAGAGTTGCCCCCGCACGATATGGTAAAGACAACTTCTACACCATTCGAAAGAGGCCACTTATACTAGTGCCATTCACTAGTGTTTTTTTTTTGTGCGCCATCATTAGATTGTAGCATAATCATTAAGGTTCTTATGTCTTCAAGAAGTGGTAGATGCTGGATATTGAGTCTTCCTCGCTAGAAAGCTGAGCAACTTCAAATGAGGTAGTGAATGACTCTCCATAATTGACGATAGCGTGGATACTGAGAAGTGCTTGCAATTGCTAGTCGCGATCAATCAATTTCGTAAGTAAATGTTGGGTGTATGCTAGAGATTATGGAAATTGGACTTTGTAGTAGTGAAACAATCGTAATCACGTTACAATATCATAACTAGTTCTGCCTCAATTAGTTATGTGAATAATAATTTTTATATGCTGGTAATTTAATACTATGTGAAGTGTCATTTAGAGCGAACAACTTCAACAGCGTTTGAAACACTAATTCACGGAAAAACAAACAAACAAAGAAACGATCTATAAATGCATGGGGGTTGTCAAAAATTGATTGATATTCCTACAGCTAATTTTTTTTCTTCAACATGTTTCTATACCTTTCGAACGTATCTTTATGTTGCCCCTACCTTCATCTTTGGTAAGCTATTGCATGTTATTTTTGGTTTATTTAATAGCTTTATAGTGACATGAGAAATGAAAATTCACAGTTTTCTTTATTGCAAGTGTTACAACCGCTGCTTTTTTTCTATTCCCTGCTGTACTAGAATGTCTTAGGTATTCTTTCTTATCGGATCTACAACTAGCCTTTGGCTACAGGTCTGATGGGTGTTTGTTATCCGTGTATATAATGAAATAAAAAAAAGATGTCCCACGTTCCATAAGAGAACAATGTCAGGCTTATGAAGCTTACGCACGAAACAGCGTGAAAATAACGACCACTAACGCGTGCATTGCCCATGAAGACCGTCCCCGTAGAAACCAGGTCCACAGAGACAGGCACTAGCTCCCGTTGCCAGGTCGCAGCCACACACGGCGTTCCTTTTGCAGCAACCCGGGTCGTCCTCTTGGCCGCGGTACGGGCTCTTGCAGAGACCGTCGCAGTTCCGTGGGCTCTCCCACGTGGTCCATCGTCGTGTGGCGCCATCTGCATAGCCGTCACGTGATTCACAGTTTCACGAATCGACTGGGAATTAGGTGTTCTCGTCGGCATTCTGAGAGGCGAATAATGTTTACGAAGAACAGGGAAGGCGATCATGCCTTCCATGGACTCGATGTTTCAAAGGAATGTAGGGCGAAAAATTGACACGCGACAGATCTTGGCTCTTTTTTTTTCTATCTATGAGAGACAATCTAGCCCAACAAGGTACCCTTCAGAGGTATATTCAATGGACTCGGCGCAGTGCGAGGTGCAAAGCAGTCTTCTCTCGCGTGCTGAAGCACTGATAGCTGTGATAGCTGGTCTGTTACGGCTATAACCATAGGAGTGACACTTGATTGGAAGGGCGTGGCCGCACCCGCTGAATATACAAAACTAGGCTTGTGCGAATAGTGAATTGCGGGGTCGAAGCTAATTCGAAGCGATTAGTGATTTTGGTCAAATAATATCGAATCGAATTCTAATATTATGTATGACATATAAAACAGGGAATATTTGTCATAACCTAACTATACTGCACGATATTCCTTTTGAATTGAAAAAGGGGCTCTATTCAAATGCCTTTTTTTTTCGTTGAAAGGAAGTCGAAACAACCTTGATTAGTAGTTTCGGTAGGATCCGAGTGACAACCTGTGAGATACATAACGTTTTAAAATTTATTATACTTAAATCATACAAACCATCATAACAAGCTTAATAAAATGAATGATTATAGGGTAACAAGTTCTCTTAAAGGGGCCCTGCCGCACTTCTTCAAGTATGCATGGGGCCAGTAAACATGCTTGTCACCTTACAAATTTACCGCCACAAAGTTTCTAGAATCAGTCCAGTACGAGCGGAGTTCCGAAAACTTGTCGCATGCTGCAATTGCATTCTCCATTCTCGACCCGTCAAATGAGCTGGAAGCAAAGTAGGGAAGGATGGCACAAGAAAGGAAAAAAAAAAAAACATCATGAACGCCTAGTTACCTTGAGCATTTTTTCTCTCTCTTTTTTCTTCGAATACGAGACCTTTCAGTGCGATCGTGCACGTACTTGTGGACAAGCGGCGGCCTCACGCGGTGATCTGATAACGACGAGCGCGCCATGCTCAAATCAGCCAATGACTGTGACTAGAACCGTATTTTCTTTCTTGGCTGTGACAAGTGATTTTTGAGCTTGTAGTGTCAGTTGCCGAGGGAAGAGAGCAGTTTCTAGCTTTGAAAATTCATTGTAAATTTCAGGCCGCGTGCTGTGCTATAAAACTTGGCTTGCGTGTTGTTGGGAGCCTCTACTACCGATCGGCAGCATTTTCTGACCATGCTCAGTAAGTGTTGCAGGGCCACTTTAAATCTGAAGGAGGGCTTTGCGGCCAAGCAATTTCCCTTGAACAAGCGTTTTCACGGTTTTGCATTACTACATTGCAGTGAAACCACTTTACAATGGTATATTTATTCGTTCATTGCGAATACTTCGAAAATATTCGATAATTTAAAATTCGAGTCGAAGCGAATTCGAATACTCACCTATTCGTGCGAATATTCGAAGCATTCGAATATTCGCACAAGCCTATACAAAACGCGATGCCACCAAGTCTGCCCCATGCGCTCACTCAATAGGAGCTCTCCGATCATTTTTTTTAGATGTAGAGTTGTTTTCATACTGCAGGTGATTGTCAATACTGGTCGCCATTCACCTCTAATTTTGCTTTCCAAGAACTGTTTCATTCCAAGCTTTGCAATGTATCGGTATTAGCCAAGCAAGAATCGGAAGTGGTTCTGCGCTACTTAAGACCAATAAATCACCTTTGGATTTTGTCTGGGGCCATGGGGTTCGCTAAAGCACAAGGACTTTCAGCTAATTAGAGTGAAATGAGGGCCCATCGTACGTCTTTCTCTTTTCTAGCTGAAACCCTCCCCTCTCATCCAGGAATATCACTTAAGGCTGTTACACATCGGGTGGGTGTGCAACTATCATATATGAAGACGCGCCATACCCATTCCGCAGTAATTGCCCACTGTCCTACAAATTTAGGTACAGTATTATTTTATTCGCTATAGGATGAGTCTGATGTGTAATCACCGTCTGGCACATTCTTTAGCATGTAATTGCAGAGGTTGGGATCTGTTACTATGAGTGTCTCAGTGACCCAAAAGGTGTAAAAGACAATCACAGCAAACAGCTTTCAATGTTGATTTACATTGATGGCACTTTAACTCGAAACGCTGCTCATAAGGCATCACACCATGCGGCTCTTAATGATCCGCTTCGTGCTAAAAGCGTGTATGGAGGTCTTTGTCTGTAGGAGACGCAGCTGAAGGAGGCTATCTATGATCGCCTGGGTAACGAGAAATTTAGATAGGCTAATTTCTTTGCAATAGGATTACTCTAGTGAACGATAAACTAAGAATCAGTTGAACTGATGTTCATCAACCGATGTATCAGTGCCATTGTTTGCTGAGTGAGTGGTTTCATAACATTGTATTGAATGTTTGTCCAATAAAATTCTTCTGCGTCGTTGTGATGGTTTAACGCCGTTGTCCTTTCAACCAATGTACTTGTATTTGAAAGTGCACTCATACTACAATTTTCGTAATGGACACAAAGGATTTCACCCGCATGAGTATCGGTACCTTTCCGACTTTTAATAAGGAGAAATAAAGCATCAAACATCGTCAGTATGGCTTAAAATGGTTACCCTCAGCTAGACGAGCACACTGAGAAGTCGACGCCGCAAGATATGCTACCGTATTTACACAGTTACAACGTGCAGCTTTTTTTGTCGAAAGTGCATGCTTGTTAGATTGTGGCACATACTTTTTCACTGTATGCTGTAGCTGAATTTTTGCTTTTGGTTCATGTAAGTAAGTGCGTGTTGGAATCGGGGAGCGCGATGCGAATTGAATAAATACGGTATGTGTCGGGTAGGGCGTTAGGCTTTGGGTCACTTGCCCGGGTCGAAGCTTCTAAGGAACTCCATGACGGTTTCACATTCGAACAGGTGGTCTGGGGACGACGCAATATCTGCGAGGGCTCGCCTCATGATGCTTGTTCCAATGGCGAATACGAAGATCTCGACTCCAGCATCCTTTAGGTGGTTCGCCTCTGTCACCGGATCTGGACCCACTGTCGGAAGGCCATCTGTCACTAAGAGGAGAACCTGCGCATCGCAATGATGATCCAAGACTGGCCCGTCAACGTTTGCCTGGGTTATATGGTAAGGCATTCATCAAAATCATCATAATCATCATAGCAATCAGGAGCGTCACAATAATTTAATTTTATGTGTGCGACAGGATAAAGTCATCTCCTAATGACCTCGAACTGACACAGTGCTGTTGCAAGGAACCGTAAGGTTTGAGCATTACTCAATCTTGGATGTGCTTTCTGAGCACTTTGTTGGTGCAGGATTAGAATATATAGTGGCGTATTGAACTTTCCCGCAATAAATTATACGTTGCGTACGGCCATAAGTATAGCAATAGCATTTAAAGACCTAATGTATTGCATCGTGATTTCTGTAAAGCAGTAATTGTGAAGTGAATAGTAGTATATAACGTTCTTAGGACGTTCATCGTACTACTCACGTTTAGCCAACGCCTACTAGGAAATTGTCTTAGCACTTGTATGTAGCGCATCTCAGTTCTTACAAAACAAGTGAGAGCCGAATGATTATATCGGTTTACTCCATAAAAATGCAACAGGACACTGTAATCGCCGCCACTGTTGCAAGCATGGTGAATAGGTGCGATTGCTTTGGAACCAAAACCATGCAATGCGTCGAACAGTCTTTCCCTCATAGTACGTCTTTCACTCTGTAAACACAGAAAACAATACTGTGCGCTCTTTTGACCTCGAAGAGTGGCCAATGTCAATGTCCCTTTCCTCCTCGCGTGTGCGTCATCATAGCAACAGACATGCGCAATGTTAATTGGTTCTCCTTTACCCCACACCCAATTTCGTTGGTTTACTAGAGCGACGAGCCGGTGGGCGTGCGCTCAACTTTTGTCAGGTGACTCAACGCCCGTTATTTGATTCCCCGGACAGCACTCCGCTGCTTTTTGCGAGGGGCGCTGACGGCTCATGCTTTCTGTGGTAGTTGCTGCTATCGCTGTGAGCTCGGTTCCATCGCTTTCTACGTCACAATTTAGTTTCTTACTCGAAATGAAACTCATCTCAGCGTTCGAAAAAAAGTGTAAGTAGACAAGAAAATTTCGCCATCACTGTCTCATCTGTTCTCGTTTTCAGATTAGTTCAGCAGTATTCACCGCAACCACTCCAGAACAGGTGAATGATCACATGGGAATGGCGACTGAAAGCAACACAAATATACGTGACATTTCAGTCCCTATTACTTCTTTGCTTTGTTGCTTCTGAAGGACTTCAAGCCCATGGCTGAAGTTGTAAAGGGCCCACTCGAAGTTCGCGGGTATTAGGCAAAAAATAAACACGATATGATTGCGAGGCACACCATGTATTCGGACACGCAGACTCAACATTGATGGCCTGGGATAACACTAACTTAAGTTTAAGTGAAGATGCACATTTCATCCACATGAATATAGGATCACTGTGACCCAAAGTCGAACCCTCGGCTTCGAGCTTCGCTGCTTGATGGCGTGGACAATGAGCCACTGTGCGGCTATTCACGTTGAAGGGGCTCACCTTGGCCGCGTGCTCCCGGCTGTTCTGGAATATCTTTCGAACTTCTTGTAGGCCGGCGCCCGTGTTGGTGCCGTGATAGTCGGCTACGTTGGCTGCGCGTTGCTTGAGCCTCGATAGCTGACATTTGTTTCCAGGCTCCTTGAGGAAGTCGGCATGCACGACTTAGGGGAAAAAAAGAAATGATTGTGAGAGAGCGAGTGAGAGGAAAGGGCAAAGCACGTGCAAGCGTTGAGGTACGTGCGACTAAAGAATATGCTGGCAACAAGCCTTGCATTGGTCAAAAACGTATAGGAAAACTGATATGTCACACTTCCCTTACCGAGTTTTAACAGGAGACAGTCTCCCAAATCTATAACTGTTGTCAACCAGCGATGTATTGTATATTTTCAATTCGCTATGAGTGATGTATTGTCTCCATATGACTGAATTAAGTTCGACAAAGGATGAGGACAAGTGAATGACCATAGAACTTTTTTTTTGTTTTACAAATTCGTTCACTCATATGGCGCGTGCAGACAAATCATGTGCCGCAAAGCAGAATAGGAAATGATTCGTGTGGCTGTACATAAAATTTCCAGGTACCACATCCCTCTTGAATGTTCGTATTTTCTCACATTTGTGTGATGTATATTCATAAAATATATGGGCAATGTAGCCTTTTATAACTAGAAAAAACTTCGGAAAAAATTGTCTGTAATAATACTTTTAAAATCTATCCGTTCAAATACACCAAGTGGTGGAATTTGCCTGCAACAAGGCAGGTTTTCGCAAAATGAACGAAAATTTACTTCTTCATATTTAACTATATACGCTACAGTACACCGCTATGGTACGCGGTGCAACTGAGAAATAAGGTCCACTGAGAATGCATTAATGCATTATCAAATCACAGGATGTCACTCGGTCACGCTGACAAGACCAAACACAAGCATTTCTTTAAAGAGGAAACATAAAAAAAATTCTACAGTGATATAGTGCAAAAAGAAGACGTCCCCCATGTATGCATGGTGATCACAAACACACGAGTTCATTAATGCATGGAGCCTCGTACAATAAACTGCGATAAGGTGGATCCCCGATATAGCGTAACAAAAAACAAAAAAGTTACATATTACCGGGAATGTCACATGTGGTTATATTGCAAGCAGGTATTCAAACTATAAAACCCTCTAACGCCTTAATAAGGGATGAAGAATCTTTGACGTATGGTATATGCTTATTCGGTTTTATTGAGTAAGAAATATTCAAACACTTTCACAGAGAACAAAATATAAAGGTATAACAACAAAGAGGATAACCTGTTGACAAGTCACAGCACTAAGATCCGGGAAATTAATCATCACGGGAATACATGAGCCAGAAAAACATTAACAGGCAGATAATAAAAACATTGGAATATCTGTGGTTATGATTTTGGTATAAAAGCTCTGTGACCATAATACGTATGTGACAAGTTGGTTTTTATGCGCTTTGCATGTGTTACTCGTCAAATGCTGATTAACTGTTGAAGTGTCTTTTTCTCGTTTGTGTATTTCCATGGAGCAGGTCATCCGCCGTTCGCAAATCTTCGCCGCATTCTCGTAAGCACGCCTCTATTACGTCACCGCCGCGTTGCAATCACCTGGCTTCCGGGCCACTCGGGGATCGCGGGGAACAAACACGCTGATGAAGCCACCCAAGCTCTCGTCCACCTGGCTCGTCCTTCCACTAAGTACCAACCTACGCGAACCAATGTGTCTGAGCGAGAGATGATGGTCTCTTCTTTTTGCGACCATGCGAGGGAGAGAGTGGTTACCTTCGGAGAAATCCTAATGTACAGCCGTAGAAAGCCCTACTTAAACACCCACCACCCAACACGTTCCCTTAAGAAACAGCAATTATACTACCAGGCGTTTATTACAGACACGCACTTTCCCCTGTCCTTCACCGCATAGCTGTATTTACTCCGCCGTCCACTCACCGCAATGCATGGCATGCAGTGCACCTGACGCTTAGCACGACCATATCCTATGGTACTGTCCCGCAGCTACTCTTACAATAAAACACAGCACAAATCCGGCATTTACAATCACCATTGTCGAGGAGTGGGAGGCTATGCCTCTGAGCACGTGCTCGGAAGACCATCTTTGGACTGTCCGGCTGGCCGAAGACGCTATCAGTATTCAAGGTTTGTCCGCCGCCTGAGGAAAGGGGGTTACGGAGGGGACCGGGAGCCACCTTTTAGCCAGGACAGACGCTTCATTATTGTTTCTTTCACTGACTTCGCCAAGAAGAAAAATCATTAAGACGCTTTTAGTTCCACAATGGTTCCACAATCGCATCTGCATGTTCTACTTGAAATTTAAAAACCAGGTCTTTATTTTATTCCTGTAGCGCTTTCAGACAGGAGGCAGTATACACCAGTTGGATATTTGCATTTTTATTTTTTCACTTTACACCCTTCCCCTTCCGACCTTGAACGCATGAGAAAGTCACGTCTTTTAACTGCGCTTCAAACGCTATGCCGAGTCTGCATCGGTAGCATGGTGTAAGATGCAAATCTTACACCATGGTCGGTATACAACACTGATTGCTTGCAGCCATCGCAGCCATCACTTTCGGCAGTGTTACGAGACGCATGCCTGACTGGACTGGACATGCACAGACGCCCAACCCTCGTAGCTTTTTTTCCTCATTGCCTAGAACACTTGTCTTGTTTGCTAGTCGAAAGTGGTCATTGCAACCTTTGTGCAAAAAAATAAAAAGCAAGCGGTACCCACCAGCCGTGTCACTGAATGAGACGATAGCGACTCTCGTGGCATTGGCCATCACGTCGAAGTGACTGACGAAGCTGTCCACGAACGTCAGCTCTGTCTCAAAGCCGGCGTGGCCCACGCTCCCGGATCGGTCAAGGAGGAAGACCAGGTCCGTAGCGGTGGCGTTCATCCTTGCCCAAGGAAAGTGCGAGGCATGGGAGTGGTCCGCGTCGTCCTCCTGTAACTTAGTTGGAGGGAGGTAGAGAAGTGCACGAGTTGGAATCTAAGCATACCCGAACGAGAAAAAAAATGCCCCCACGTCCCCGAAGGGGATCGTGAAGAAATGCGAATGCATTGCGTAGCGCCCGTAACGGCATTTCGCTCGTGAGAACATGGCGTTAGAAGAAGAATGTTTTTTTTTTCTTACACTGTGTGGCCAATAGCGCCATGCGCCGCACGTGGCGTTTTTTCGTCGTGAGAAATGCGGTATTCATTAACAGCTCTAGCAGCTAGCGCGCACAGTTAATTAAACACAAACGCTACACAAACGCTACAAACGCGTTTCACGCACTGCATTGAGGCGGTGGCAAATCACGTTCAAGTCAAGAAGGCGGGAGCTCCGGTTGCTATACTCGGTGACAACTTTTATTGGCCTTAGAGCGAAGGCTACAGAGCCGTATCACGTGCATCCTACCAGCAGTGAAAGTAGCTACACAATAGAGCCCGTATTTTCAATGTGAATTATAGAAATTCCTTCGTTCTGTTCTTCGTTGAGCTATAGGCACCGTTCAGTCGAGTTTTCCAGTCTGACTGCAGCGCCAGAATACATGCCTAGCGGATAAAAAAAAAAGAAACCTTGAGATGGCATCGGTAAAATTAGAACGCGACGCGGGCATCTCGCGCCCTGCATCTGTCAGCGGATTGTGCCCGGGATACATTGGACACACGAGCACGCGTCTCTTTTCTGCGTGCCCCTAACGGCGAATGTCCGAAACTTCGAGACGGGGCAGTGTGAGCAACGCAGCTCCCTCTGGTCAGTGCGTAGTGCCTATTTGAGACAGAACGCAACTCACAGCAGTAAGGTATTCGTATTTGTTTTAATTTACTTGTTGTGACTTCCCCTTTCTGAGCGCGCGAGAAAGTCCCATCTTTTTACGTGTAGCTCAAACGCTAAGCGGTATCTGCGTCTACATGAAACGCTGTTGGCACTCCCACATCACTTTCCGTAGCGTTACGACACGCGCGCCACATCGTACTACTTCGCGTAGTGCTACATGTGCAGTAGCTCCGCCCCCGTGGCTTCCCCTTCAGTGCCAAGAAAAGTTGTCACCGTATGTGTACACGGTCGAGGATAAGCGCGCGCAGCTGTTCTCTATGGGAGAAGGTGGTGGACGGATTACGACGGACGCCTGACATAGCCCGACTAAGAAATACATTCCCACTTAAAAGATACAGAAAAACAAAAAATAACAACTAAAACAGCGAGAATACGACGGAAAGTACGCAGAAAAAGATAACTTGGCTGGTGTTGCCGTCATAGGAATCGGTCTAACACAAAAATGAAACTTGTCTTCACAGATGTAGTTAGTTCTTTACTGTCCATTGATATATTGAGAGCTAGTACAATGTCTAGACGTGTCACTTGACGTGGACCTACCCACGTAGGCACCTAGCGGCGCGTCTTCCTTCCAACGACTGAAGCCCGTGATCATTATTTAACAAGTGTGGTAGCTGAAGTAGTTAACATATACTTGCACCCCACACATGCATGGTGAATCCACGCAAGGATGGCAGCAACAAGCACATTATGAACTCTGGTACTCGGTGTGCACTCCTTTAAAGCGTCGTGAAACGCGAGGCGAAACAGAATGCGCGTCGTTCGTTCCCTCTAACCCGGCCGTGATTTCACGCAAGGCTAACGCGGAACGTGTTGTGACAGCCAGGCATAGCCGAGCGAGTGGCGGAGAGCATTATTTAAATGTGGATGAATGTTATGAGCGAGGCTTCATAGTTTAGCATGGCTTGGGCTTAAGCCACCTCCTCACGGTATGTCATTCTTTCTTATGTTTTTGCATCAGGAAGGCGTACAAACTTGCGATAGGGCAACCAATGACCATGAGCACGAGTAAATTACTCGATCTGGGTCTTCACAACACGCTGGAGGAATTATTAGATGCACAGACCATAGCTCAGTACGAGCGCCTTTCCAAATGCCCTACGGGCAGACACATACTAGAGAGCTTAGGAATTAGATATCATGCTCAGCACGGTGTCAAACTCGACGTACCAAGCGACGTAAGAGATAGGCTGGTCATTCTTCCTTTGATGAAGAATATGCACCCCGAATACCACAGGGGTAGACGGGAAAAGAGAGGACAGGACATAAAGAGTAAGTATGACAGATGTAGGGAGGCAGTGTTTGTGAACGCGGCCGGTCCCGCACGTCTTCGCGGCCGCTGTAGTAGATCACCAGAACGTTTGCAAGACTAGCGTCACGGTATACGCACGGAGCTCGTGGAGACAGCAGAGGAAGTGGCTACCGCGCAGTGGCCACCACCGCGGCCGAAGTGGTTATCTGCAACTCTCAGATGGCAATCGGCAACTTCGCCAGCGGCCACGTCTCTCCCGAGGCGTTACGAATTCTACTTGCTGGCAAAATTGAAAATAGCGATGTTTACGTATTACGGGAACCCGCCAGAGACAGGGTGAGGAATTGAAGTGGGAGGATCGCCTCACCAGTTTTAAAGCTATATTACCCAGCATTACAGATTGGCCAGGTGCAAATTTCCGCCAGCACACCAAAAACTGAACAAAAGGCAGGCGGTCACGTGGCGACAGCTGCAGACCGGGACGTTTCCGAACCCCGTGATTAGGAATCTCTGTTACCCAGAGATTTATGCGTCGCGCTGCAAGTTTTGCGAGGCCAGGGCAACCCTGGAACACATGCTATAGAAGTGCGAAACAGGTGGGGCTCCAGACGAGGACGCAGCCTCGAACCGAACGCGCAGGGAGAGTGCTCTGCTCAGCCATGCCCTCGAAGACTAACTGTGGGCCGTCCAGTGGGCCGAGGTCGCCGCCAGAGCTCAAGGGCTCGTGGCCGATATCTAGGCGGGGATATCTGCCCAGATCCCTGAATATTCGTCGGACTTGTTTTTTTTAATAAAGTTGCGTCTCTCTCTCTTCATGTTCTCGTTAAAACCCACACATACTTATCATTGGGCATTCTTAGTTCATTATACTTTGCCGTCATTCACAGTAACGAAACATACAGTTCTTCCTAGGGAAACACTAATATGATTCGTTTGGCCAGTAATGCCCATTTGTAAAAAAAAATAACTGTAAGAATTATCACCAGTAGCGGATCCAGAGGGGGGTGGGGTAGGAGCGATCGCCCCCGCCAAAGCCTGTCAGTACCCCCTCCACCTCTCTTCAGTGCTTTCCGTCCACCTGCTATCACCAGTTAGGACAAATGAGCAGGACCACTGTGAGCACACATTGAGAGTATTTATGTCATTACAGGGTTTTCGTGCTAGTAAAACAAAAAAGCAGTGACCACACACCTTTCCAGTGTTCATTAAAGTGACCCCCCCCCCCTTCCTAAAATGGGTGGCTGAATTCGCCCCTGATTATCACCTTCTGTCATTGTAGAGAGTCCTTTTACGCCTATCTATTCTCGACATACCACCTGGTTCTTTATCGCTGATATCAGGTATGCTCACGTTTCGTGCGCGTCAGCATCCTAGGCGAAAACAAGGTTCCCCTTCCGAAGGTGGGGGGATACGAAGGTCTGTATAGGGCCGGCTTTGCACACGAAATTAAGCGGGTGGCTTCCCCCTTACTCCCTGCCCGTGCGCATGCCTATGGTAAGCATGAAACTTACGCATTATAGGCACCCGCCCACACTTTCTCGCTCGCCGGCACCTATACAAACAGAAAGTGCAGAAACTGCAGGAGAAGTTTGTAAGCAAACTTAATTGAGCCAGTTGGTTCGGCAGGTCGATGACGTGGATGTGCTTTGAAGACGCGGACAGGGCATCGAGAGCGCACATCTGTCCCTGTCCGCGTCTTCAAAGTGCACCTACATCGTCGACATGCAGGAGAAAATTTGCCCGATTATTAGTGAAGTTGTACAGTTCAGCTGTTCAACAAGAGCTGAGAACCTGCCTCCTGTAAAAACGCGAACATATATGTGTTTTAGTCTAAAGGCACATGCTCAGAATAAAACGCTTATTTCTGCGCCTGTGTCACAGGGGGGCTCTTTTTATGGAGATCAGCGGCGATCGAAATCACTCGCAATTCGAAGTGCTCGTGTGACGGAGAAAACATAATGTTTACTGATCTTGTGTGGACGTTAACTGTGGCATGGCCACGGGAACTATCGTGGTTTACTCACGAGTAAACTATTCATGAATCAAACTTTCAAGCAAAGCCCCCCTGAACATACAGTCCATGATCATGCCGAAATACGAATTAGCTAGAATGCGGCGACGTTCATTGGCGGCAGCAAAAAATCAGACGATGAGTCATTTGCTCGCAAAGATGAGAGCTCACTCGCTGGCGTCTCTCTAAACAAAAAAAAGTGCAACAACAACAAAACGTGGACAACGCGAGGTACATAGCGCTGCGATTCACGTTGAGCACGGCTGTTTTGTATCCCATGTTCTTTCGAACAGTACACATCATTGATGTCGATTGAACCATACAAGATTCACCTTTGTGATAGGTATTCACTGTTAGCTTTTAGGTTTTACTACCCATTTCTGGTGTCAGTGCATTTATCTGCCACAGGTGTAAGAAGACAGCGACCGATGTGTTCCCGCTAACTGGGGGCCTTCAACTAGTCTAACGTCTGAATATCGCCTCTGTGCCATTCGTTACATTGCCTTTAATGCTGTAGACTGAGCAAGTTTACGCGCTCTTTGTGGGTATCAAGTGCTCTCGCGTTATCAGTGCAATGCAGGTGCTTTTTCTACCGTCATCGGTCGGAAAACAGAACGTTTTTACAAACATACAAAATTAGCTCAGGCTTGCAGACCGCATCTTTAAAGAGCTTGACACAGCCGTGCTCGAGTTGCTAGTGCTTCATCGGGATAATTTTATCCGCATAAAACTTTGGAGCACAAGTAGCCGTGGCCAGTAACAAGAACTAAATCTGCGCGAAAACAACCTAAACAGAAAGTTTCCAAGGGTGGCTTTATGGCGAACGCACATTGTTGCCCAGAGACCGGCAGACGCTGGCGAAACCCTCTATAGTTGCCTTCTAACAGGCCGTTTCGAAACAAGCTCGCATATAAAATAGACGCTAAAGTTACAAAACGGAACTTGCAAGGCAAGTTGCGTTTTTTTGTGCGCAGATGAGCAGTTTTGAAGGAGGTGAAAGGAAGGGTTGGAAGTTAAATGCTGATATGCCCTTTCGTGAGTCTCGACATAACGACTGTGAGGGCGCGTTGATTATTCATGATGTTGAAATAAACACCCCAACCACACAGAGACACAAGAACACAAGGAAACTCTTTTCTCTGTGATCTATAGTTTCTCTTTGTAGTTACACTCTTGGATTACAAGTATCGTGGTACTTTTGCTATATGTGTCGCGCGAACACACGCCGCTGTTATGAAACATCAAATCGCTGGAATAGCAACTCGTCCGACTTCAAGCGCGGGTCAGGCCCGTAGCCAGGAAGAGTGCCCAGCTTCTCCTTCACCCAGCCCATCCTTCTCGAAATTTCGATGGAGAGTGTGTGCTACTTATCCACGAAAAGTAATAAAGACCAGTGCTTCGCAAGGCTTTCCAAAACTACCTGCTTTTAGGATGACTGCCAGTTGGACATTTTGAAATAAGAAGTGCGCTTGCCAGCCGAAGCTTTCTGACAGAAAAATAGTTTAGAGGCACTCAAGCGGACGACCAGAGAGATAATGGAAGCGTATCGAACTGAAATAGGAGGTGGCAAGTGCGTCAGCCAAGCGTCTGTTCTGTTAACAGAATCTAAACTTGCTTTTGTGAACGTCAGATAATTCAGTGCATCTCTTTCCTTGCCTTTGCTTCTTTTTTTGAAAGGAGGGGGGGGGGCTTAACACGTGTTTTTTAGGTTGTATGCAATTGATTATGAGAGTGGATTTTCCTTACTTGACGTTGTTGTTTATAATAGAGGTGGTTTGTGGTGACGTGCACGCGACGTGTGCTTATATAGGAGTGTTCACTTCGAAATAAAAAATATTGAGTTGCCAGTAAGCGCTCGCCTTGTGTACTTTCTGAGTGTTCATACTTATTGGTGCTTGTTTCATGAAGAACTGCCTATCCCTCCCACGAAAAGAATTCCTGGCTACAGACCTGGCTCGGGTGTTCTTTCATTTTGAGATTATTGAAGAGTGGTCGATGTGACAGTGGATTCGAACCCCCGTAGCTGGGCTACGTGGAACTTAACCTGCGAAGCTACCACTTGGAAAGAAAAAAAAAACAGATGTGCTCTCACCTGTGACAATGCCGGCTCGTAGAGAAGGATTACGATGAGGCATGTCGGTAGAGTCCATGACGGATGCTTCATCGTTAAATGAACTGAAAATGCCACAGTACTCTACGCGACGAAGCAACAACTCGGATGGAATTCACTGCCACCTCTGCTGCCGTCGCTTTGGTCGCCAGTTCTACGCATCCTTATCGTCGCGATCGGAGGAGTCGTGAGAAAAAGACTTCTGTAATAGTACACCGTTTGGCAGCGTCGCTGCGATTGCAGAGGTGACTTGCAACCGGGTTGCCGCTTCGGTCTCACTCGCTCCTTCGAGAAAGGTCGTGTGGGGGAGAGTCCCTTGATGACAGCGACTCATACGCGGGTGATAAACCCATTCAGACGCGACACCCAGTAAGTGCTTCATATTTACACGTCATATTTTAACTACATACGATATCTTATCGCGAAACAAATTGTGTCACGGCATATTATTTGTATGCTTTAGAGTAACGAATATGACTGAAGTTTTAGCTGAGATGTCTATTTGTGCCGGAGTTCTTAACGTCCTCTTTTTGAATAATTGGCATTGAATGCATGGCTAAAACATTCAGTGATGTCGTTTTCAGTTGTGACCATTTAGAGAAAAAAAAATAACACTTTTGACGTGTCTCGCAAAGAGTGGCTCAAACGACTCAGTGAACATGGTAGTGCCCTCAGCAAACTCTTCATGACAAATACACAGTCAATTTGAACAAAGAAACACTCCTCATGCTGGAGGTTGAATTTATCGAACCTCAACGTCCTTGCTTTTCTTATAGTCGGCATGACGAGCAACAAACAAGTGTAGAAGGCGTTTAACCAATACGCACAGTGCATACAAGGCACCTAAAAGGGTTGGGAAAGTATGCATAGAGCGTACAGGCCCGTAGTGAGGAATTAGTTTTGTGAGAGGCCCACTTGCTCAAGGCCTTGGACATGTTCAGACAAAAGATTTTTTTTTGCTAAACCACCCCCTCCATCAGAAATTTGATGATGGGGTTCTTAGGACACCCTTATTGGCTATGAGCTGGATAGAAGGTGAACGTCAATTCGATTCCATTCGATATACTGTTATTACAACTTGAAAAACAAGCTGTATATTTGCTCTTGCGAGACATGCCCCGAACATATTACATGCCTTCAAATTTATCCCTCGTGTTGGTAATTTGTGTATTATTTCATTGATGCAGTGTGCTACTCCAGAGCCTGATGCTCCATCAGCACGATGTTTCTATACTTCATTGGATAATTTATAACTTCCACACATGCTAATGATTAAAACATAAGTGCGCCTTTGCTTTTCCTCCTATGGGGATTCGAGCACACTGAGAACGAGAGTGGCGTTTGCGCTGTTTCCGCTTCCGTAGCTTAATAGCCGTCGAAGTTTCAAATGAGGTGTGGGGTGCTGCGTTGACTCGATAGACCACTGACTCGATGGCATTGAAACTCGGGCTGCTCGTCCTTGTCAGTTGAGTCGATAGACCTTTGATTCAATGGCCTTCGAAACGCCCATGCGACACCAGGAAATGCTCCACATTTGATACGGAATGCGCCACTCCATTTTAACGATGCTAATCCCACCGGGCATATGCAATATTCCGAAAGCTCATCTTGAATGAAAAATGTTTATTGAATGAAAGAGTTTATTGTCGATTCAAGAAGATTCTTTATTTTAGCCCACCTTTTGCGTACACTACTGCGTCGACGCACACAACCAACCACCTAGCCCAATTCACCACAACTCCCTCTTCCTTCCCCGAGAAGTTAAGCACAGTTTAATGTCCACGTTTCTCGTGCAAGGAAAGTTGAGCTGCGTGGGAGAAAAAAAGTGCTTAAAGAAAAAAAAGAGAACTAAGCTCAGGAATGTCCTGTGAAGACTGTGACGACCATCACTAATCACCCGACTTAGTGAGTTCCGTGATCTTCGTTTTGATGGAGATTAGCCGCTTGAACTTCGTGTCGTCGCAAATTTGGTAGAAGTCGTCCATCTCTACGCTGTAGGCGGCGATGCCGGTGTAGTTGTGTGGCAGAATATTTAGCCTGGCCGTAGTCTGCGTAAAAAATAAGATTCCACTTTGTTACCTAACCGACGGCTACGAAGAACGCCGTTCTCCGTGTATGTTTTTTCTATATGTACAGTACAAGAAACTCAGCCCGAGCGTTTGTGGAAGCTGCAACGCATGGCGATTCAGTGAGCATGAGAATGACGAGTAGGGAACGGATTTTTCTAATCTCCGTTCTTCTGTCTCCGTTTGGCTTCGCACGGCTTGGAGCTGCTTTGTCACAAAACGACAGTAAACGAATGTTCTGCAGTTGCACTTTACCGCCTTGACCTTTTAGGCACACCAATTCTAATCAACTCACGAAGCTCGCAATGGTTTGTTCTTTCTTTTGAAACAAAGGCAATAAACAAATAAACTGCAATAAACAAAGCGAAAAGTGCCTTCGAAGCGCGCAAGCATAATGACTAGGCAAATCCGTGTGCTACCCACCATTCCCATGGTCGCCGAACGATCGCTGCGCCAGAATCCGGTCTAGTTATTTTTAGAGAACTCTACGCGGTTCGCAACACCTTCCCAATTATTAACGGTGCCAGGTTTGCCAAGTTTTTGGACAATTGACATTAATCTGGCGCACTGTTGTGGGCTGGTGGCCGCAGAAAAAGAAGTGTCTTGGTTATACCACCCGTTTGTAGCCCGAAGCCACAAAGAACGAATTTACTTGTGGGTGAAGAAACAATCTATAGCTATAGTTCAAGCATATTTCTTGTTCGTTCGATTTGAAGCAAAATTTCGAAGAATCGGCGTAGTGTTTGCACTAAGCGCGCAAGGACGGGTCACAGCGGACCTGTTGGGCATCTAGACAGACCTTACATCACTCGACTTTTACCCTCTTACCTTTTCCCTTTTTCCTACCCTTAATATATATATATATATATATATATATATATATATATATATATATATATATATATATATATATATATATATATATATATTATAATGAGATCTAACAGACAATAATGCCAAGGAAAGTATAGGGGAAGATATTAGACCAAATTGTAATGTGAATATGAAGAAAGAAAAGTGGATGAAAAGATAACTTCCCATGGGCAGGATCCAAACCTGCGACCTTCGAATGACGCGTTCGATACTCTACCACTGAGCTACCACGGCCGCTATCCCCCCCTGCCACTTTTTTGGGTTTATATGTGAATTTAAACGTGGGAGTGTCAGTCAGCGCCACCAATAGCAATGGCGGGGAGTGTGGCACACTCTTTTGAGCCTGTTCGGCGTCACGTAGCATGTGAACTTGTTACGAGCGGGCAGCTGACCAATAGTCCCTCGTATACAACCTAACGGCACTAAGTCTGCCAGTACGAGATTCTCGTTAATGAAATAAAGAAAGATGTGTATACTTAAGGGCTCTTTTTTTTTCGTGTTTTCGCAGGTTCGGGTCCTGCCCATGGCAAGTTATCTTTTCACCCACTTTTTTCTTCTGCCCATGGCAAGTTATCTTTTCACCCACTTTTTTTTCTTCATATTCACATTACAATTCGGTCCAATATGTTCCCCTATACTTTCCTTGGCATTATTGTCTGTTAGATCTCATAGTATGGTGTAAAACACAGCAAAAACGGAGCCCTTAGTATACACTCCTTTCATATATATATAGATACTTATATATATAGATATATATATATATATATATAGATATATAGATAGATGCGAGAGAGAGAGAGAGAAATTGAAAGGGAAGGCACGACCTGGTCCGGGTATTCTATATTGAGGAACTGCCGGATAAGCACCTTTGAAAAGGTGATGACCATCCCACAATTTCCCTTTTTCAAATGTGCTATAAGCAAGTTCCATTCAATATATATATATATATAATATATATATATATATATATATATATATATATATATATATATCTATATCTATATATATATATATATATATATATGCTTGCTCTGGTGTTTAGAAACATGGTCGGCATGTTGCATTACTAGCGCCTTCTTCGGCGGCTGCAGCTAGCGTTTACAACATTTGCGATGCTTTTTCAGTGTCTTTGCTCTTCCTTTCGAGGTGGGGGCGAGTTGCTCCTAGGGAGCGTGGAGACGTTGCAGTTTAATTTTACGCCAAGTAACCGGCTGCTCTCCTCCGGCTTCACTGCTGCTGTAGTTTCTTGCGTTCCGTGCTGGTGTTAAGTGGCACTTTTTTTAAAAACGATAGTCTTTCTTTGGGTACTTCAACAGAAAAATATTGGTCTCACTGTAACTCTGTATGTGCATTTGTCTGTTTGTCCATCTTAACGATGCTCCGAAGGGCTCTGTACAATATTTCAAATGGCCAACCTTATCTGCAGCACTCCCATAACGCTCAAGTTTAAGCGTTAATTCTTGTGCGATCGTCAATTACAAAGCAATGATTGCGCATATATCAGGCACCATAACAACACGTCTATATTCTGTAAGTGTGTCTTTACACTAGATAAGTCATACATAAGTAATTCTAAGGAGCATAGCGTTTATCACGCTGCGCCAACAATGCAACGCTTTGTTTAAAAAGGCAAGTGTTTCCAACGCTTTGCTGGGACCACACGGTGGTGGCACCTGCCCGTCGCTTTGAGTTCTACACCTTGTCGCCTCCGAGACAGGCGTGCATGCTTTCCTTCATTTTCGAAGATATAACTGCCAGATATCGCTTGTGTCTAACGTGCCTCGATGCGCTCGTTCACCTTCGCTGCACGGATTGAGAGACTTTAACGCAGCGCCTCTAAAATACAATTCACCAATTTTCTCGCACTGAACACCAAATAAACGTTTTGTATTCTCTCCCCAGACGCAAGACTATCGTTAGGGTTTCTGCTATCGTCTTTCGATGACATTTGCAGTAAAACATGGGAATTTACCTGCCCAAGCTGGGATGGGGCAGATGGTGCATAAACATGCAGATACAGATTTTACGTGCCCTAACTGGGATGGTGGCTCTACCTATGGGATGGCTGAGAAGTAAGAACAGTGAAAAGGAAAAGAAAACGAGAATGTCTGCTTGAGTCGCTGTGCGAAGCATTGTTACAAGTTTATTTTGGCAACATTAAAAACAAATAATTATGAACCACGCATCAAACGCGGAAACATCCATGTTGCTGATTTGTTTAGATATATC